GCGAGGGTCCTTGTTTGACCACTCACTCTCCAAGTCCTCTAAGGCTTCAGACACATCTAACGTACAGAGCATAGTTTGGTCTAGTTGTGTCTGTGGGGTGACTAAGGGGTCATTAGCCTTGGCCTTGTCATGAAGTGGGGAGGGTATCAATCCCACTTCATCTTGAGTCGAAGCGGCTAATACTTCCACTGGCCCTACGCGTTTCCCGGGCTAGAAGCCTGGGAGTAGGTTGCCCCCATCTTTGGAGCTACCTTCTGCGTAACCTTAGCGTTCTGGCACTTGTACTGCGAGTGTCCGTACTCCCCGCAGTTGATACAAGCACCACGCGTTCGGCGGTCACGCCACACGTCTTGATCAAGACCTGCCTTTACCCACTCAGCCTGCTTGGTCTGATTGGAGGCGGCCTTCCCTTGACCCCCAGGCTGGCCCTTCCCTCGGCCTGCCGCCTTAGTCTTAACTACCGCGGCGAGGGTGCTACCCTCAGCTACCTCCTCGACGTCAAACTCTGTGTAGTCCATCAGTTCAGTGAGCTCGTCAATCTCAGTTTGAGTCCCATCAACTTCGCCCCCTTCTTCTTCCACTCCTGAGGACTCTTCTTCTTCTTTGAGTCATTCCCTGAGGTGGGTTGAGCATTGCCTAGCGTGGCCTCTAAGTCTAAGGCTTTCCTAGATAATGTCTCAAACGAATGGTATTCTGTGCGTGCCTCGCTGGCCAGCAAGTTCCTGATGTTCTCTGGCAAACATCTAACAAACGTTGTTAACAGGAACTGGTCACTGTAGTTGATGCCTGGGACGAGGATCAGACTCTCAACGGTAGTCGTAAGCTCTCTAATTGACCTGAACTTTCGTTGGTCTAGTTTGTTAATGGCATCAGTGGCCTTTTGTGCCTCTTGTGGATTATGCCATCGAGCTTCTACCATTTTCATGAACTGGTCTAGTGTCAGGGACTTAGCCCAGTTCGCCATGCGTCGCCCGTACCCGGCCTTTACAACTACTCCATCTAGCCACTTGGTTGCCTTGCCCTCGAGGTAAGATGCAGCAGTTACCACTTCGTCCTCAGGCAAGGTCCTCTTGGCCTTCACCCAAACCGGGACGGTCCTCAACCATGTGTTGAGTTCCTCCTCCTTTCTCTCGCCTGAAAAAGCAAGAGCCGGTTTCATTGGGGTCCTGGGATACCAATGACCTTGCGGCTGTCCTTGTTGAGGACTAGCCTGTTGCGGTGGTGTAGCACCTACCGCTGAACCCGAAGAAGAAGATGCAACAGTCTGTGTTGCTGCTGCAGATGTGCCACTTGGCGGTGTGCCAGCTTGAACCGGAAAGGGGCCTGACATCGCTGATAACGGCAACGGCGATTGTGCTGGTGGTCGGAATCCTGGCCTTGTCAAAGCATCCAGGATCTGGCCTAGAGTGCTCTGCATGAAGTCTAACTTGTTGTCCACATGTGCATGTAGTGACAGCATATTCTTCTTCAATACTTTCAGTGGGTCAGTCAAGGCTGACTCATCCAAGCCCTCTAATTCAGCCTTGTCAGCCTCTAAAGTTTCAAGCCTGGCTACTCTAGTTTTCATCGCATTTTCTCTATCGGTAGCATCTTTCAGGTCCTGCTCTAACTTACGGCGAAGCATCTCGACCTGCTGGATCTCTCTGAGCTCCCTCTCACTTGGGGTCAACGGGCTGAACTGCGCGCCCGCCATTTGACTAGAAGACTGTCTAGAACCTGTGGAACCGGAAGTGCCCGAGGAACTTGTGGAACTCGTTGGCATTCCCAACTGGCTCCCATTAGTCCCTGACGAGGACGCAGAGGATGACGCAGCAGAGCTTACGTCGTTAGCCATCGCAGTTGCTCTGGATGTTGTTGCCTGCTCTCTTGTTGCTCTGTTTGCTTCCTGTAGTCCTGCTGTTAGAGCACGGGCTCTACGTTCGGCCCGAAGTCGTGCTTCGTCTCCCGGTTGTAAGGCCTGGAACACGTGCGGTACCCTTAGTGCCCGTGCACGTGTTAGTCTCCTTTCGTCGGCTCTATCATCAACAGTGTCTGACCCGCTCATTAGTTAGACAGATAGTGTCTACACTAGAATCCCCTAATGGAATCCTACCACAGCATGTATCTGACCGACACATAATTTTCTATAAATAGTTGTGTCCGGCGAGTTCCCTACTATACCGAATCAGTGGCATGTCTACAACATTCACACAGATTGTCTACATAGTCTAGATGCACCCCGATTGGTTCACTTACAGCAGCATTAGTTAGAACTGGCTATGGTAGCATACAACAGTCCTACACTAATCTATCTGTGAGGTTAGCAGTCCGTCAACCAACTAATCAAAGGTACAAAAAGACAATGTAGCAGATGTATGATTGATGGGTATGGTTGTGTATTCAGTTGAGCACCAATTGGAACCTACCCTCCCCTCCATCCAACATACCGAACAGCATCTTTGAGCAGAGCAGTGTGTTCATGTGTATCTCGGCCCACCCCTGTGCCCAAGTCAAAGCCAACTAAGCCAGCCAGCCCACTCTTATTTACCCTCGTACGGAAACGAGCCTTCCACCCGGATGATCTGGCTGATCAGGAGGAATTTATAGAGCGCCCCCATCTCTTCAGGAATTCTTTAACGTCGCAGTCAGGACGACGATCACAGCCAGATTCACTATGAACTCCCAACCAGAAATGTTTATAGACGGTCTGGTTAGCGTCTCATACAAGGCTGGCACACTTGGCAAGACTTCTATCTGAGGGCAGCAAGTGCCAAAACAGGACAGCAGCCATCGCATGCGTGCACTACTCCCTGTGGGTTGGCATGGTGACCGTGACCAAGTGCTTCGACCAGGGCCCTTCAGAGGCACCGCCCTTACTCCTTCCAGTATGCTTCCGGGAAGATTGTCGTCTCTCAAGGTAGCGCGCTCACGACACCTCACCAAAAGAGAGGACTCTCAAGTTGGACTCACTTCCTCACGGTAAGAACAGATTGAGAGAGTAGATAAGGTAAGGGAAACAACGTACCTGGAGATAGCTGCCCCCAACCACAGATTTCTCCCCAATTGAGCTGATGTTGCATTTGATGACCGATCATGACCTCGGTATACCACCCACAACGCAATGCAGTGCCACCTTTGTCCAATGCCACATCAGCATGCTCTCATCACCAATCATACATTCCGCCTGTCACCACGGCTAATAATGCCGTCTGTAGCCTTCCGGCGCACCCCTCTCTACCCAGGGCGTGCGCCAATCACTGGCCTGACGTCACAAGTACCAACTGCGAAGAAGCATCGTCAACGCACCAAGTCTGTATAACGCCAGCATGCCAGAGGTAAGTGGCGATCAAACCAGCTCTGATACCAAATTGCAAGGAACATGAATATGGACGAAGCACAGAAATCCAGAATGCAAAATCACACTGAAGTCCAAGTAGTCAAAGCCAAAGCAGATAGCACAATGGAACCGAGTAACCATCCAATTGAGAATGATACAGAAGAATCGTGAGTCAATGTCCAGATAGCACAATGGAACCGAGTAACCATCCAATTGAGAATGATACAGAAGAATCGTGAGTCAATGTCCATGCCCTACAGGGCAACACCAACAGCAAACCCAATGTAGCTCTCTCTCATGAATGGCGCCAGGTGCCCTATCTACCCTACAGACTAAGCCTACAACTACAGCAATGAAAGCAACCAGACAACTTGACTACCAGCGAGTGATGATGTCAACACCAATGCCGACCTCCACCTCCACCAGGTACGTGTCCTCTTCACCCACACTCTCCCTTGTACCCACACAGCGCCCTTCACCTCCAAAGAACCACCTTCGCCCTTCACCTCTCCTGCACCCTCATGCGGCCCGGCTATGGCCGCCAGTGCCTTGCATGCAGGCAGCGCCCTACCGCCTAGCGCTGGCCTGCTTCACCTTAGCGCAGCGCAGCTCTGCACAGCGCAGCACACTTGCATTTRCGCAGYGTGCCCGCAATGCCCTGCATTGGCCAGGATCCCTGCCCACTCGCCCTGCTTGCCTATATGCCAGTGCTGCGTGTGGGCGGCCTCCCTTCAGCCTGCRTCTGGGCCTCARTGGCTGAACGCAGGCCCGATACAGTTGAGGCCCGRGCAATGCAGTTGCGCCTCTTTCATCAAGGCCTGCGGCCAGGTTCAGACAGTGGGCCGATTTCCCTTTAGCATTTTCGGCCTCTCTACCCAGCATGCATTGTCGGCCTCACATTCAGATGCCCAGGGCCTAACTAACTCAGAGGCCCTGGGGTCTCCGCATTTGCAGAGATTCGAGACTCGTGCACTCCAACCAACTGGCGTGCTGCAACTGTATGGACCCCACTTCGTGAAATGTCTGCACTGAGGCCTCTTGTTGATTTGCTGGCCCGCCTTCACTTAGGGCGGGCACGAGGCTTGCTGGGGCCTTAGCCCAGAACATGTACATCATGGCAAGGCCCCTTCTTGAGGGCTCATTCCTCACACTCATTATTACTTATTATTATTCTTAATTTCTTATTATAATTCTTCTTCTTATTCTTATTCTTATTCTTATTCTTCTTTCTCCTTGTGGTGAAAGTGAGTGAATTTGGTTTGGTAGAGGTCAACTGCATGCCTGTGAGACTGACAGCAGATGCAACCGTTACCTGAATTATTCGAGGAACAATAATATAGTCATGCTGCAGATAATGAGAATGAAAGCACAAACAACGAAGGTCTTCGCAGCAAGCAGCACAAGGAGAAAGTGGTAAATAGTTCTGCAAACCAGATAGGCCTTAGAAGTGATAAACAGAAAAATAATAAACAATTTGCAATAAAGAGCAGGACGGAAAAGAGAGCCAGAATTTCATCAAAGAGGGACAGACAAAACGGACAAAACAGATAGATGGGACAGCCAGTGAGCAGGCAGGCAAGTGGACAGGCAGCGGGCATGTCGGTGGGCATCAATGGGCTAGTGGGGAAGTTGCGGGCTGGTGGGCCTGGTGGGTTGGTGGGCTGGTGGGCCTGGTGGGCTGGTGGGCTGGTGGGCCGGGTGGGCTGGTGGACGGGCGCACAAGTGCAAGGCAAATGCGCATACATATGGACGGACAGGCCGACTCTGGCAGACACACACACCGGCATATGCAGAGAGAGAGAGAGAGAGAGAGAGAGAGAGGCCGGCTCTGGCAGACACACACAAACAGACAGCTCTGGCGAGTACCAACAACGTCACCTGGACCGCCCGGAATAATAAACAGCATGTGCGATCCGTTTGACGACCTGGTCTTGCAGGCCAAAGAGTTAATAGCCAAAATAGGCCCGACTATAGGTCAGGCAAGTGGAGTCCCGCTGCAGTATGGGTCTTTTCTTGAAGGCAACATGTCGAAATTGTATTGAGTACGACCCGTTCACTTATAGATTGATGCTTGTCCAGCGGCCTTAGAGAGCAGAAAAACAAGACATCATTCAGATCAACTTTTGACGGGATTCATTCTACAACTCTCCAAATTAAAAATAAAAGTCGGGAGAAAAAAATTCAAAAAACAGTTTTAAACCTTTTAACAAAATATTACACAAACATCACATCCTAAAAATGTACTAGCCGTTTGCCATACAACATTAAAAAAATGCCAACAGAAATGAAAGATGAAAAAACATTTCATTTAACAAATTCATTCATATTAACAAATTATGATTCAAAACCAGAAAAAGAATCTTCCAATTTTCATTTTATTTGTATTTTATCTGAAAATCTCAAATTTTCGTCTAAAGATGAGTTTCCCTTCTAGTTAAAACTGCATGTTGAAGATGGAACCAAATTTTGGATGAGTTCATGAAATTTCTTAACTAGACTTCCATTCTACTACAACAAATTTCTTACAATTTACATTCGATTTACTCCTTTTTTACCGAAATTTCTTAAAACGGAATGATAGCTTAATTAAAGTATTTCATGAATTTATCTAGACTTTCATTCCATCTCTAACATGTTATTAAAATAAAATGGGAAGGGAAACTGTGGTATACTGCGCATCCACACGGGCCTGCAGGACCCGACCAGACGGAAATTAAGGGCCCTCCAGGCCCTGTGTCGTTTCAGCCTAAAAGCCTGAAAACGAGGGCCATTTTCAGGCCCTCATAAAGTCGACCCGGGTTTAGCACAGGCCATTTTTCGGCCTGTTTCAAGACAACCTTTGTTTGAACTTCAACGTCAGGGTCTGGCACGTTTCAGCATTGGCAAGAGCAGCCTCCCGGACGGGCCAGCACTATATAGTACTGGCCCGCCCTGCAGGCTGCAGGTAGTTCATAGGGACTTCCCAGGCAGTTCACAGGCACTAGAGGTGCGTTCAGGGGGCAGTCTTCAGAAGTTGGCCGCAGCACTCTGGAGGAGCGCTGCAGTAGTAGTAGCTACCGCTAGAGTAGTCTTCAGCGCTGGGCGCTGCTAGGAGGTAGAGTAGCATTGGGAGAGAGAGAGAGAGAAGGGCGGATCCAGCCTCGTCTTCGAGGTACCTGCAACAAGGCGCCACCTTCACAGGCTAGTACTTGGTACCAGAGGGAGAGAGAGAGAGTTCTTCTTCTTCCTGTCCACCATCTCTTCCTCACCCTCTTGCCACCTGACTTCTCAGTATCTGCAGACTACAAGAGAGAGAGAGAGAGAGAGAGAGAGAGAGAGAGAGAGAGAGAGAGAGAGAGAGAGAGAGAGAGAGAGAGAGAGAGAGAGAGAGAGNGAGAGAGAGAGAGAGAGAGAGAGAGAGAGAGAGAGAGAGAGAGAGAGAGAGAGAGAGAGAGAGAGAGAGAGATTGGTGACTTTGGGACTTGGCGACATTTGGATTCAGACTCGACATTGGGATTGAGACATTGGACGAGGGATTATTTGGGACCTGTACCGAAGACTTGGTGTTGATGACATTCCCATCTCCCCCTCTTCTTCG